CGCTATTGGGGCCATCTTGGTTGCCTCTGGGGCCGTTTTCGGCCGTCGGACAGCCGAACATGAACAAGCGCCAGAATTTTGGGCCGTCCTGGAGGTCCTCCTGGAGGCCTCTTGGGCCGTCTTGAAGGACTCTTGGGCCGTGTTGGGCGATCAGAGGGCCATCTTGGGCCATCTCGGCCCGTCTAGGAGACATCTTGAGGCTATCTTGGGCTCTCTTGGGGCCACGGTAGCCGTCTTGGAGACCATCTTGGCCGCCTTGGAGGCCATCCAAGGGCCGTCTTAAGCGGGAAGACCCATCACCGAGGCGTCTGGCGGAGCTTTCCAGGTGGCCGGCGGGTTGTGCCGACGGCCCATTGGGAATTTTTGAGCAGGATTAGCACACTACCTAAAGTCTGGCACGCCGTGCGTTCCTGTGGCTTTCCACAGGGGGCGGCAGATCATGTGGCCTTCGGCCCATCCCGCCATCGTGCCATGGTTGAAGGTCAGAGGCCTCTTGGACGCCTGCGGGGGGATCTCCGCGGAGGCCCCTCGGAAGCCTCTTAGAGGCGGTTCTGGGGTGTCTTGGGGGCCTCTTGAGGGCCTCTTGGGGCCTGACTTGGGCTTCTTGGGGTCCTCCTGGAGCTTCTGGGGGGCTCTTGGTGGCCCGCTGGCGGTATCGGGGATCACCTCGGGGCGGAGGGCTCGAAATGTCGGTTCGTTTTCCCCCTTTGAAGACCCTCTTGGGGCAGTTTTGGGACGTCTTGGTGGCTTCTTGGGCTGTCTTGGGGCCCACTTGGAACTTCAGGGTCTCTCTTGGGAGCCTCTTGGGCCGTTTTTGGGGCCTCTTGGGCCGTGCTGGCCGGTCGGAGATACAAAAGGCCGACAGCGACAAGACCCTTCGAAAATCGAAGTGAAAGTCATGACTTTGACCTCTTGTGTCCTCTTGGAGAGCCTTTTGGAGCCCTCTCAGGGCGTCTTGGGGGCCTCTTCGGCCGTTTCGAGCCATCGTGAGCGTCTTGGGGTCCTCCTTAGACTGTCTCGGAGGCCTTTTGGGGCCCTCTTGGCCAGTATTGGGGCCCTTCTGGCTCCAGAAGGGTCACACGGGAACCCGCGGGAACACGCGGGACGTCCCGGAAATTTTGGCGTCTTGGAGTCCGGACCCTTGAACCCTCTATGTTTGAGGACGGAGGGCTCGAAAGGCTTGAGGTCACTCCAAGTCGTGGCTCAGGGCACAGTGGCGGACTTCCAAGGGTTGAACATCACAGGGGCGTGGGCGGATGTCGACCAGACTGGCGGTGCTCACTACCACGCCGAGGACGTCGACGGCGGGCCTCCCTCTTGGGCAACGTTTGGGCGCGTTCGCTGGAAGGTCGCCCACGGGCGCACGAATGAGGGTATCAAATGCTTGAACCTCTGTGTGAAGAACCTTGCGCACGCGGGGTTGGCCGTCGTAGGCCTGCTGGGAGAGAGCGACCGCACGGAGGCGGTGATGCCGCCACAGGGCTGCGTTCGGCGCGTGGCTTTGGCAGACCTCGCTTTCACGCGGGCAGGGGTCCTGAGCTTCCATGCAGACAACTAATGGTAATGGCCTTCTCAAAATGTACTCTTCTGTTTTGCCCTCATTTCTTTACCCCTCATCCTTGGATCACTCCATTTCTACTCGTGCACCATTCGGTGCGCAGCTTGGATCGGCTGAGCACAGTTCGGCGACGGTGGGGCGCTGGCGCCTCGCCTGCCTCTGGATTCATGCACCTTTCTGTTCCTTGATCTCGCACGCGCGGGCGTTACCCTCGTGCTTGGCGGGCCTGGGCTGCCTGCTTTGTGGTGCTGCTTGTGCTGCGAATGAACTGCCCGCGGCTGGAGGCCCGGCGAGGCCGCAGGCACAGCGACTCGGCCCAACCACGTGCCCGCCCGCTACTGCACGGCCACGATGTGCGCTCGGCCCCTTGTGCGCGCTTACTTTCGCTTTGCGGTGTGTACGGCCCCAGCAAAAACAATCATATCATCATCAACTGCAGCTGCCTGCGGCATGTCCAGCCACCGTGCCAGCCCAGCATTCTGGGTGGCGACTGTTCGAGGGGGCACGGAAGGCCGTCACGTGTGACCACTCGTGTCTCAAGGGTTGGGAGAGCAGTGATGAGGATGTTGCAGTTGCCGTTGCTGCTGCTGCTGATGATGCTGCTGCTGCTGATCATGATGATGATTGATTGGCTGGGCTGTAGGCGGACCTGGAGCTCTGCTGGAATCGCGGCTTGAGGAAGCAGCGAGCGCGGCCAAGGGGCAGCGCAGGCTACGTTAAAGCGGAAATTATACCGCTGGGTCCACGTCGGGCGCCAGCGGAGGCAGTAAGGCTCGAGTGCGAGTTTCGCCCCGGGCTCCCGTGGTGCGGAGTGCTGAGGCATCCGCCCGGTCGGCTGGTATCACAGCCTGTTCGGAGTGGCGGGGTAAAAGACCTGCCTTCATTTTCTCTCGGCACTGTCTGCTCGAAAATTGCAGGTGGTGCAAGGCTCGAGGCCGAGTA